TTGGTGGAAGCTGGTTTACGGTAACAACCGGACAATTTGCTTAGCAGCTACAGTGATTCTCTTAACAACCCTGGTGAAGGAGTCATAAAACCAGGCACGACTAACTTAACAAGTGCTTTGCTTTCAAAATATTAAGCTGTTTTGACAAACTAATAAAACCTTGACCCCTGAAAACAACTGTCTTGCTGAGCAATGGAAATTCTAGTTTTGATTGTGATCGTAAGTCGAGGATCATGAAGATGGTCCCTTTCTCTTCCCTCACCATGGATAATTTTCATTACGACCCTCGTGATGATGGAGACCAGGTTTTTAACTTTTATGCAGTGTCTTCAGACTTTCCATTGTGGCCCACGTTACGCCAGACTTAATCCTCTTCTGAATTTTATGCTCAAGTTTGAAACGAGGGGGGAGAAGAATGCGTCTGTCTGGGAAATGCAAAACTGCATTTTTTGGTGGGAAAATGGCATTGTTGCTGGGTACAAAGACACCGTGAAAAGTCTGTGAATAATCACAATAAGAATCATTTATTAAATTTCTATGCTGCCCGACTCCCAGCGACTCTGAGCGGCATAGAAGCAGGGTCTAGTGCCACCAAGTTGTTGTGGGACAACTCAACGTTGGCAATAGGCACCTGGATGGAGAGCTGGGCATGCAAGTGACCGAGCAGGTGGGCAGAACGTACAGTGGTGGCTGCGGCCCGGGGCTTCCCATTTTCACATCCCCCACAGGAAGCTCCCGGCCACCACCTCCTCCCTGTCGCACGCCCTGCCCACTACCACCACCGCCAAATGATCCGAACCCTGAACGCCCCGGAGATCAGCACGGAAGCAATAGAGGTGATGGCGGTGGGGAATGTGAACATGCAGGATCCAATGTGGAACCAGCTTGTCTTCCAAGCTTTCAGACTCGTTCTGGAGCCTGTCTTCGTGGAACGTCTTTCTAGCAGAGTTTGTGCTGTTGAAGATGTGGTAGTTACACGGCGCCTGTTATACATGGCTTTTAAGACACTGATGGCGATGTATTGATGGCTGGTTTTTAAGTTGTTGGCTGTTGTTTGCTTGTGCTGCCTTCTAAGTACTTGATTTTATTTATTTATTTATTTATTTATTTATTTATTTATTTATTTATTTATTTATTTATTAATTAAATTTATATACCGCCCTATCTCCCTTGCGGGACTCAGGGCGGTGAACAGGCGATACTAAAAATGATGAGCTGGTGGTGAGGTAGATGAGAGAGGTCATAAGAAAATGCTTTAAGATGTTTTGTTATATCAATAAGGAATATTGTATTGTAGTATTGTGTTGTGCTTAATTGAGCTTAATTATGTTTAAAATCCATTTAACCTGTGTGCCAATTCTATAGAAACAACCTTTTACAAGAAGTGCCAACTGAAAGTCACAGATGGTGTAAGATATTACCCGCCAGGGCGGTGAGGCAAGATAAGCCTTCTGATACTTGAAGAAGAAAAGAAGACACACCAGAGATCTGTACTTGAAGAGGGTTTTAGTGTGTCAAAGGTAGATAAGAGTCACCCCACATGTAAGGCGTGGGTGGCCGTCTGTATAAGAATAACTCCCTGGGAGTAGCCCGGGGTTCAGAATCTGTCATGCTAATGCTCTGAACCATTGTGCACAAATAAACCTGTCTTCTTCAAACCCTTCGTGGTCTTGTCTTCTGACGTAAGTATCATGGTTTATTCCACAACAGTGGTAAATCAGCACTCCTGTTGACTGACGCGGGGGCCTGTTTCCCAGGCTTCAATCACTTCCCTGGCTGTTTTTGTCCCTGCTCAGCCAACAATCTTAGTAGCTGCAAAACTGAATGTGTGTCCTTGTTCATAGCAGTGTGTGAAAATGGGAAGCCCCCAGCTGCTGCCACTGCCGATGTTCGCTCTGCCCACCCACCTGATCACTTGCCCACCCATCCACCCGGCTCTCCATCATGGCACCCCCTGTGAGTTGTCCTCTCAACAAATTGCCTGTGTTGAGTTGTCCTGCAATAACTCGGTGGCAGTGAGTTGACAGAGATGACTTGGTGGTAGCAAGGGGGCCGCCCCCAATTGCTCGTCCCCCAGTTGGCCACACCGAGTGGTCCCCTTGTCCCATAAAGCACGGGCTGTATAATTTTCCTGCAGACCTAACAATTAACCACTGGAACAACCTGCCTCCAGAAGCGGTGAATGCTCCAACACTGGAAGCTTCTAAGAAGAGACTGGACAGCCATTTGTCCGAAATGGTATAGGGTTACTGCCTGAGTAGGGGGTTGGACTTGATGACCTCCAAGGTCCCTTCCAACTTTATTATTATTATTATTATTATTATTATTATTATTATTATTATTATTATTATTATTATTATTATTATTATTATTATTATTATTATTATTATTATGGATCATCGCACAGTCAGCCAGATGTTCAGACTGGATTTGGCATTTTGTCTACCTATCAAGTTCTTACCAAAGACCTGGGATAGGCAGATGTGGATGTTTGATGGTATTACAGATATCGTTGCAGGATGGAAGCAGTTCCTAGTAAGGCTGCCCTTTGCAATTGACTAATAGCGAATTTGTCAATGCCGATGATGGTGTTCAAGTGGTGCTCCAGTTGTTTTGGGATTGCACCCAAGGCGCCTATTACTATTGGTACTACCCTTGCTTGCTTTTGCCACAGTCTTTCTATTTCTATTTGTAGGTCTTTGCATTTTGTTATCTTCTCCAGTTCTTTCTCGTCTATTCTGCCGTCTCCAGGCACTGCCACGTCCACTATCCAGACTTTTTTGTCTTTCTTATCGACAATTGTTAAGTCCGGGGTGTTATGTTGCAGGTGCTTGTCTGTTTGAATTCTGAAGTCCCAGAGCAGTTTAATTTTATCGTTTTCTATGACTTTCTCTATTTTATGATCCCACCAGTTCTTGCTTACAGGCAAATGATATTTCTTGCAGATCTTCCAATGCACCATTGTTGCTACTTTGTCATGCCGCTGCTTGTAGTCAGTCTGTGCAATCTTCTTGCAGCAGCTTACCAGGTGGTCCACTGTTTCTTCAGCTGCTTTATTATTATTATTATTATTATTATTATTATTATTATTATTATTATTATTATTATTATTATTATTATTATTATTATTATAGGGTTCTAAGGAAAACCACTTTCAAAACAGGGGAATGTTAACAGTGCAAAACTGTGTGCATTTGGATAAGGTGATACAAAATTCATCTGTTAGGTTGGGAAAATATTATCTGATTGGAGTGTTTTAAAATATTATTTTTAAAAATCAAACTAAATTGCAGATAGTGCTCAACGTACAATCATTTGTTTACTGATCGTTTGAAATTACAAAGGCACTGAAAAAAAGTGACTTTTGACTGGCATTTACATTTACGACTGTTGCAGCATCCCCGTGGTCACGTGATCCAAATTTGGGCGCTTGGCAACTGGCACGTATTTATGATGGTTGGAATAATCCTGGGGGTCACGTGATCGTCATTTGTAACCTTCCCAACCGGCTTCCGACAAGCAAAGTCAATGGGAGAAACCAGATTTGTTTAGTGACTGTAGGACTCACTTAACAAACATGGCAACAGAGGTCATAAAATGGGGCAAAACTCACTTAAACAACCCCCTTGCTTAACAACAGAAATTTTGGTCTCAATTGTGGAGAATAAGTGAAGAACGGCTTGTACATTAAAAAAAAGCAACCCGTTTCATTTATTTATTTATTTTGTTGGTCTTTTTCAATATTTGTAGAAGCGTTTGCAGGGGGAGTCAAGAAAAATCAAAAATGGAAGCTACTATCTAGCGATTGAAGCCTTACATTTTTTTTTTACAAGTGTCTTGACTTTTTGGAAACACACACATACGACACATCATATAACACACACATACGACACATCGTATAACACACACATACGACACATCATATAACACACACATACGACACATCGTATAACACACACATACGACACATCGTATAATCTTTCCTAGATATTTTTCAGCAGTTAGATCAGGGGTGTCAAACTCAATTTCATTGAGGGCGGACAACAGCATTGCGGTTGTCCTCAGGGGGGGCGGGTGTGTGTGGCCAGGGTGTGTGCGGCCTACTGGATGGGCATAGCCAGCTCTACATCGTTCGCATCAAGGGTGCCTATGGGGGCCTGGGCAGGAGTGGGACAGATCTGAGGGTCTCTGGCAGAAGGGGGTGGGACCGGAGCAAGCGCTAAGGCATGGTCCACTGGAAGAGTCTGCGGAAACCCCTCCCTCGGAGCCCATCAAGCCGGATATGTGAAGTAGGCGAGGGCCATTTGCTGGCCACTTCCAGGCAATGGTGCATTTCTTCATTCCCCACAAAGGGTGACACCTCCCCAGCATGCACTTAGGGGCGGGGTTGACATGCACCCAGGGGCTGGTTCCTTGCTGGTTCCAGACAGCCTTGTGGAGCTAAGACTGAATGCGTTTCAGCATAGATGGCCACCACAAAATTGTACATTGGCTCCCGGCTGGCCAGGGCCAAGGCAGCGGGGGCCGTTCCCTCACTGTTTCCAGGATGGCTTCGCGGGCCACAGGAAACCACTTCGCGGGCCGCATCCGGCCCCCGGGCCTTGTGTTTGACATGTCTGAGTTAGATAAACCCTGTAGCAACCAAGCAATCATGGGCAAGGACTGAGGGCATGAAACACAGCGGTGTTGCTAGAGGCGGAACGCTTGGGGTGGGGTGGGGTGAAAGGATATGCAGCCCGGGAAAATGATATGAGTCCTTTTTAGTCAGGTGTTCTGCAAATGTGGAATTGTTTTCTAGCGGGGAAGACAGCTAGATCTTTCCGCCACGGGCTCTAAGCGAGTTTGCATTCAACAGGACGGATTGGTGGTGGAGAAAAAGTCGACCCTGGGTGCAACTTCTTCGGATTTTGCAGATGTGGCATCCTTCGGGAGGACAGGTGGAATTAAGCCTGTTGCTTTTGACTGTCTTCCAGATTTCCAATGTCCTGACTGGGTCTAAGATGAAGGTATGGAAGTTTGCAGCCATAGGCACCATGGTTTTCGGCTCCATGCTCTCCATTTTGGTTTGTAGAGACGTGCTCAGCTGGCGCCTCAAATCCGCTGCCTTCCCTTTGTCGCTGTTCTCCAGAACTGACGCAACTGACGCCTCCTCCTCCTCCTCGTTGGCCCAGGGGTCCAGAAGACTTCCGCGGGAGCTGGGACGCCACAGGTCGCTGATCTCCCAGTGTAAGTTGTTGTGTCTGTTCCTCCTTTTTTCTCGGGTGCAACGGGAGTGTCCAGGAACTTCTGAGAGGTTTTATCCCACTCCGAGCGTGGCCTGATCTCAGCTGATCTTCTACAGGTAGTCCTCAACTTACAACCGCTAGTTGAGTGACTGTTAGAAGTTACAACATCACTGGAAAAAAAGGTGACTTATGACCGCTTTTCACATTTACAATTACTACAACCATGGTCATGTGATCAAAATACACATGGCTTGGCAACTGACTTGTACTTATGACGGTTGCAGTGTCCCGGGGTCATGTGATCCCCTTTGACAACATCTGACCAGCAAAGTCAATGGGGAAGCCAGATGCACTTCGCTACCGTGTTACTAATTTAACAACTGCAGAAATTCACTTAACAACCTGTGGCAAGAAAAGTTGTAAAATGGGGCAAAACTCACATAAGAAGTGTCTCACTTAGCAACAGAGATTTGGGGCTCCATTGTGGTCATACGTTGAGGACTACCTGTACTCTTACGTGCCAGTTGGCCTCAGGCTATTGGTCTATGTGTGATCTAGGCCAGAACACACAGTTGTAGCTGATTGGTTGGAGTGGTGGCTAATGCTTGAGGCAATCTATGCTGTGATTGGTTGCTGTGGGTGAAAAGGAGGAGTTTCCCTTTTTCCCCACTTTTTTCTTCTGTGTGCGCTGTATACTGTTTAATTTACCTCACAATGTTCCTGTGTTCCTGACTATCTTGTCTGCTCGTGCATGAGGCAATCTATGCTGTGATTGGTTGCTATGAGTGAAAACAGGAAATATCCCCTTTTCCCGCCTTTTTCTTCTGTGTGCTCTGCATGCTGTTTAGATTTACCTCATGATGTTCCTATGTTCCTGACTGTCTTGTTTGCTCGTGCATGAGGCAATCTGCACTGTGATTGGTTGCTTGGGTGAAAAGGGGGAATGTCCCTTTTTCCTGCCTTTTTCTTCTGTTTACATTTACCTCATGATGTTCCTATCTCGTCTGCAGTGAATATAGATGTTAAATATATTTATTTATGTAAAACTACAAGTTTGGGTCAGCATCTCTAACTTCAGTTGGACACCTGACGCACAATTCCACAACAGTCTGATGTTGTAGGGTTTGTGGTTTGTCTGAACCAGCCTCTGGATCCGGCTAACAACATAACTGCACACATGAACATCACTACGAGTAGTCCTCAACTTATCACTGTTCATTTAATGACCACTCAACGTTGCAACAACACTGAAAAAAGTGACTTAGGACCCTTTTTCACCGTTCTGACCTTTACAGCTTCCCTGTGGTCACATGATCAAAATTCAGGTGCTTGGTAACTGACATGTACTAATGACTGTTGCAGTATCCTGGGGTCATGTGATCACCATTTATAACCTTCCCAGCTGGCTTTTGACAAGCAAAGTCAATGGAGGAAAGCCAGATTCGCTTAACGCCTGCACGGTTCACTTAGCAATAGTGATTCACTTAATAATCATGGCAAAAAAGGTCGCAAAATGGGGCGCGACTCGCTTAACGACTGCCTTGCTTAGCAATGGAGGTTTTAGGCTAAGTTGTCACTGTAAGTTGAGGACTGTCTGTATTCATGTCCCTAAGTGCTAGGACACCTCAGATGCTCCTAGATTTTGTCCGTAGAGCCTCACATTTTTTAAAACATCGCACAATTGCCAAAGCTTCTAAAATCTTTGGCATGCTGGGAAAGCCAAATATGTGCATGATTTTGAGGTTCTCACACCAACGCTGGATAACATTGCATAAGGATCACACCACCTGTGATCACAGGAGGTCCACAAGGATTAGCGGTTCCCTGAAAATCCCGCTGATTTTTTAAAGATCCCTCTTAAAGGTGGACATTTAGAACAGAACAGGATAACAAAGTTGGAAGGGACCTTGGAGGTTTTCTAGTCCAACCCCCTGCTCAAGCAGGAGATCTTATTGCATTCCAGACAAATGGTTATTTAGTCTCTTCTTAAAAAGGTCCAGTGATGGAGCACCTACAACTTCTGGAGGCAAGTAGTTCCACTGATTAATTGTTCTCAGTGTCGGGAGTTTTCTCCTTAATTCCAGGTTGCTTCTCTCCTTGGTTAGTTTCCATCTGTTGCTTCTTGTCCTGCCTTCAGATGCTTTGGAGAATAGGTGGACCCCCCCTCTTCTTTGGGGTAGTCCCTCAGATATTGGAAGATGCTATCGTGTCACCCCCTAGTCCTCCTTTTCATTAAAATAGCCATACTCACTTTTCATAAACCGCTTCTCTCCGAAGGAAACAGACTTCTAAAACAGAGATAATCAGTTAATCACATCAAGATTGCCGCAAGGAAAGACCCAAATCTAGTCCAATCAACTGCTTTGTGGAAGGGTAATCCGCATAACCCTTTAGCAATTAAATCCAGATCCTGCCTCCCGAGTCATTGGGAACAAAGGATCAACTGGAATTGCGGCTGTTTGAGCAGAAAACAAAGGCTGGGGGACATTTGGCTTTGTCGCGACGATGTGGCAGGCTTTATTTGGATTTAATTGTACGCTTGCGTAGAAATGAGACTTGTATGAGAGGCAGCTGATTAGGATGGAGATGAGTAGGTAATTAAATCAAACTTTTGAAGGACTAGGGAGCGCCTCTGAAATGCTGCAAGCGCAGCAGAACAATTCAGTTCAATTCCAGAATAGAGCTGGAAGGGAACTTGGAGGTCTCCTAGTCTAGCCCCCTCCTTAAGAAATGGTACCATTTCAGATAAGTGGCTGTCCAGTCTCTTCTTGAAAACCTCCAGTGATGAAACACCCACAATTTCTGAAGGGAAGCGGTTCCACTGATTAATTATGTCAGGAAATTCCTCCTTAGTTCCAGGTTTCTTCTCTCCTTAATAATAATAATAATAATAATAATAAAGTTGGAAGGGACCTTGGAGGTCATCAAGTCCAACTCCCTGCTCAGGCAGGAAACCCTACACCATTTCAGACAGATGGCTGTCCAGTCTTCTTAAAAACTTCCAGTGTTGGAGCATTCACCGCTTCTGGAGGCAGGTTGTTCCACTGGTTAATTGTTCTAACTGTCAGGAAGTTTCTCCTTAGTTCCAGGTTGCTTCTCTCCTTGATCAGTTTCCACCCGTTGCTTCTCGTCCTGCCTTCAGGTGCCTTGGAGAATAGCTTGACTCCCTCTTCTTTGTGGCAGCCCCTGAGATACTGGGAAACTGATATCATGTCCCCCCTCATCCTTCTCTTCATTAAACTAGACAGACCTAATTCCAGCAACCATTCCTTATATGTTTTAGCCTCCAGTCCCCTAATCATCTTTGTTGCTCTTCTCTGCACTCTTTCTAGAGTCTCAACATCTTTTTTACATCGTGGTGACCAAAACTGGATGCCGTATTCCAAGTGTGGCCTTACCAAGGCCTTGTAAAGTGGTATTAACACTTCACGTGATCTTGATTCTCTCCCTCTGTTAATACAGCCCAGCACTGTGTTGGCCTTTTTGGCAGCTGCAACACCCATCTGGCTCCTATTTAAATGATTGTCCACTAGGACTCCGAGATCCCTCTCACAGTTACTACTGTTGAGCAAGTTTCCATCCTTTGCTTCTTGTCCTGCCTTCTGGGGCTTTGGAAAATAAGTTGACCCCCCTCTTCTCTGGGGCAGCCCCTCAAATACTGGAAGACTGTTGTCATGTCCCTCCTAGTCCTTCTTTTCTCTGGACTGGCCATACCCAAATCCTGTTCTTCATATGTTTTAGTCTCCAGGCTTCTGATCATCTTAGTTGCTCTTCTCTGCACTTTTTCCAAACTCTCAACATCTTTTTTTGTGATATGGTAACCAAAACTGGATGCAGGTATTCCAGGCGTGGCCTGACTAAGGCTTTATAAAGCGGTACTAAGAGTTCACGTGATTTTGGCTCTACGCGGTACCCCGCGGTGCGCACATGTTAAGGCTGGCCACTCTTACAAAGAGGACTCAATGCGGTTCTCATGCAATAAATATGCATTCTTGGGTAGAAAAGTTTTACTGCTTGACATTATCCGCATTGATTCATTTCATGGGAATTTGGTCCGAGGGGATGTCTGCCTTCGAGTAAGCAATTCCTGGGGACCAGTCTTCCTGTCTCAGATTCCAGAGTTATAACTGTCTCCGCGGCACGGGCTGAGCTGGCCTTTCAAATGGGATTAGTCAAATGTTTATTCATGCTTATTACAAATCCCCGTATATTGCAACAGGCTCTTGGGGGTGGGGGGTCCTTTGCAGAACATCAGGAGGAGCAAAAACCCCTGCCGGGATGTAAGTGTTAGTACCGCTTTATAAATGCCTTGGTAAGACCACACCTGGAACACTGCATCCAGTTTTGGTCACCATGATAGCAGTGTTCCAGTATCTCAGGGGCTGCCCCAAAGAAGAGGGAGTCAAGCTATTATATAAATTTAAATAATAATAATAATAATAATAATAATAATAATAATAATAATAATAATATTATTATTATTATTATTATTATTATTATTATTATTATTATTATTATTATTATTATTATTATTATTATTATTATTATTATTATTATTATTATTCTCCAAAGTCCCTGAAGGCAGGACAAGAAGCAATGGATGGAAACTAACCAAAGAGAGAAGCAACCTGGAACTAAGGAGAAACTTCCTGACAGTGAGAACAATTAATCAGTGGAACAACTGGTTCTGACTGTCAGGAAATTTCTCCTTAGTTCCAGGTTGCTTCTCTCTTTGAAGCTGTGAATGCTCCAACACTGGAGGTTTTTAAGAAGAGACTGGACAGCCATTTGTCTGAAGTGGGTTAGGGTTTCCTGCCTGAGCAGGGGGTTGGACTAGATGACCTCCAAGGTCCCTTCCAACTCTGTTATTCTATTCTATTCTATTCTATTCTATTCCATCCCATCCCATCCCATCCCAATCCTTCTATTCTATTCTATTCTATTCTATTCTATTCTATTCTATTCTATTCTATTCTATTCTATTCTATTCTATTCTATTTTATTCTATTCTATTCTATCCTATCCTATCCCATCCCATCCCATCCCATCCCATCCCATCCCATCCCATCCCATCCCAATCCTTCTATTCTATTCTATTCTATTCTATTCTATTCTATTCTATTCTATTCTATTCTATTCTATTCTATTCTCCATTCCATTCCATTTTCTATTCCATTCCATTCCATTCTATTCTATTCTATTCTGTCATTTCTTTTCCTGATTTCCCATCGTATTTGCTCAAATGCCACGTGACCAGGAGGACGCTACTACTACAGTGTTAGGTTCGTTTAAGTTCATTTTTAGGTGTGGAAAATGGCCACAAGTCACCTTTTTTGGTGCCCTTGTACTTTTGGAACGGTCAGTAAATGAACTGTCGTAAATCAAGGACTATCTGTAATCCAGATTCTTTCTGAGGCCTCCCGGGACACGAATAGATTTTTTTTTTTTGTGAATTAGGATGTGCAGAGTCCCTTCTTCTATTTATTCATTTAAAACATTAATACAGCCACCCACTTTATAACCCAATGAAAAGTTAAAGCATCGTAAAACCCATATTACAGCCATAAAACTAAGCCCATTAAACCTTAAGGGCAACAGAACTCTGGCGGTAAGTCAAACCTCTGATCTGCAGTCAGCTCACCATGTCCCAGCACTTTGGAGGAGAAAAGCCTGCCAGACTCCCACATGCTTAAACGTGCTTGGGATAAGCACATATAAAACAATAAAAATAATAAAAAAAAAATTAAAAAATGAACAGGGAAAATAGAGCCGCGGTGGCGCAGTGGTGAGATTGCGGCATTGCAGGCCAATTCTGCCCGCTGCCAGCAGTTCGATCCTGACCGGCTCAAGGTTAACTCAGCCTTCCATCCTTCCGAGGTCTGTAAAATGAGGACCCAGATTGTTGGGGAGAATCATGCTTACTCAGAAGATGCTGTAAAGCATTATGAGGCGGTATATAAGTCTAAGTGTGAAGGGAAAGAAGGAAAGGAAGGAAGGAAGGAAGGAAGGAAGGAAGGAAGGGAGGGAGGGAGGGAGGGAGGGAGGGAGGGAGGAAAGAAATGGTAATGAGAGGAAGGAAGGAAAGGAAGGAAGGAAGGAAGGAAGGAAGGGCTGTGGTGGAGCAGTGGTTAGAATGCAGTACTGCAGGATAATTGTGCCCACTGCTAGCAGTTCGAGTCTCACTGACTCAAGGTTGACTCAGCCTTCCGTCCTTCCGAGGTCCATAAAATGACCCAGATTGTTGCAGGGGGCAACGTGCTGATTCTGTAAACCGTTTAGAGAGGGCTGTAAAGCTCTGTGAAGCGGTATATAAGTCTATGTGCTATTGCTCAACAAAAATCAAAATTCAAAGGGCAGAATCACTCGACCACCAGGTCTTTTTCTGCCGTCAGTTTCTATCTTTTTCTGTTTCGTGGAAGGCGAGGAGGGGGGCAGGCCTGCCAAATCTCAACGGGCAGATTTTTCCATGGGGCGGGGGCTACCAAGAAAAAGGGTCGCTTCCTAGCTGACACAAAATGGTAGGGACTAGGAACATGCCCACTTATCTGACCTGGTAGGACCCAGGTAGGCATCCTTTGGGAGAGGTGGTCCTGCAGATAACCTGGCCCCTGGACCAAGTTGGGTTTTAAAGGTGAGGACTAGCACTTTGAATTGCACCTGGGGGAAAACCAGGTGCCAGTGCAGCTTGCACACAAAAGGGTTGCATGGGCAAATCTGAGGCCCCCATTACTGTGTACACCACTGCCTCCTAGACCAGTTGAACTTTCCGGGTGGCCTTCAAGGGCAGCCCCGTGTAGAGCGGATTGCAGTAATCTAGACGGGTGATGACCAAGGCATGAGCGATCGTGAGCAAGGCCTCCCAGGCCAGGCAAGGTCACAGCCCTTCTTTGGCATTGCACAGTAGCTTTATTCAATTATTTATTTAAAAGGATGTAGGTGGCCATTCAATTCATCCTCAGTGACAAAGATAAAAACCCAAGATAAAAACAGGAGAAAGCAAGAATCTGTCACTCCTCTGGCGATAACAATCAGATGAGTCGTTTGATGGGCTCCGTCCCACTCTGGGGTCCCCAGGCCCGTTGGCCAAACCAGGTCTTTGGAGCCTTGGAAAGACTGTGAAAGTGGGGGCCAGTCTTGCCTCCGCAGGGAGGGTGTTCTAAAGGGAGGGGGCCACCACAGAGAAGACCCCCCCCCTTTTTTGGTTCCACTTAGGAGAGGGGACCCGTAGCATCCCCTGCCTCCCTGCTCTGGTAGGTCGGGTGGAGATAAGTGAGGAAAGGTGGTCCTTCAAGGAACACGGAGGGAGCCACCACAGAGAAGACCCTCCTTCTTGGTCCCTTTATATCAGGGGTCTTCAAACTTGGCCCTTTTATGACTTGTGGACTTCAACTCCCAGAATTCCTCAGCCAGCAACGCTGGCTGAGGAATTCTGGGAGTTGAAGTCCACAAGTCATAAAAGGGCCAAGTTTGAAGACCCCTGCTCTATATGGACATCCTTAGGAGAGGGGACCCATGACATCCCCTGCTTCGTCCACTCCAGTGGGTAACCAAGAAGAGACGGTCCTTCAGATCACCTGGTCCCAAGCCACAGAGGGCCTTAAAGGTGACCGCAGCACCTTGAATGGGTCCTGGAAGCAAATCGGCCGCCAATGTCATTCCCACAGGAGAGATGACACCTGCGCACCTGTTTCCCTCCCCTTGCTGACCTCTGTCCCTCTTCTGATTTCAGACAGCACTTTGTTCGAGAGCTACACAGAAGGGGAAATCCACCAGCTGATCTCCACGTTGATCGAGCGCTACAGCCAGTCCATGAACTCGGGAGAACACGAGCTGCCTCTCTTGGCCAAAGCCGGCAACCGGATGAAGCGCGCCAAGGCCCGCCACAAGCCCTGCTCCCTCAAGGAGCTGGAGGTGACCATCAGCGAGCTAGGCCTGGGCTACAATTCGGATGAGACAGTCCTTTTCCGCTACTGCAGCGGGACCTGCGACTCGGCCGTGCGGAACTACGACCTCTCCCTGAAGCACGTGCGGAGCATTAGGAAGATCCGGAAGGAGAAGGTGCGAGCGCGTCCGTGCTGCAGGCCGTTGTCCTACGACGATGACATCTCGTTCTTGGACACGGGTAACCGATACTACACCGTAAACGAGGTCTCGGCCAAGGAATGTGGCTGCGTGTGACCGGGAGGAGGAAACACCAACGAGAAGGAAGAGAGTCTCCGTCTCCCTTGGCTGCACCCGTGGGGGACCAGCCAGGGTGTACCTCCAGGAGGAAAGCAAAGAAGAGCAGACGAGAGAGGACCGGAGGTGGACAACTGCTTGGAAGGTCTACCTGAAGGTTGAGGCACAGGGGCCAAAGGACTCACAGCTGGGGGACCAGCATCTTTGGCAGGATACGCCGAGCAGCTGGGAAGCAGAGATGGCTATATTTGGGACCTCCCCCGATAGCTTCCATCTTCTGACCAGATGTGGCACTGGACATTGGACAGAAGGCCTTTCTTTTGGGTCTTGGCCAACATCCATTCTCGGCTTCCACAAAAGAGGGGGGGGCTTCCCAGGACTGACGCTGCATGGTTGGGAAGAAAAAGAAAGGAGAGCACTTGACTCGTTCCCAGCTTTCTGTGCACAACGAAGGGGTCTCGCCTGCGATATTCGACAGATTGTGTCTGCTGACATGCACGGGCGAAGCCTGGGAGGTCCTCCGTTAAGTGATTCCATTTGGGAACCGAAGCGGGGAGGGGGGGGGCTGTTCCTGTCTGGCAGGCCAAGATTCTGTTTCTTTAAAAGACTTGCTGGAAAAAGAGGCTGACAGGTTGAGGGATTCTTCCCTCGCGTCGTCGTTGTGTTCACGTACGGGCACCATGATCAACAGGACCGTGTAAAAATAATATATATATATGTATAATATATATGTATATATATATATATAAGGAACGTGGACCTAGGTCTAAAATATTGACAGATATGTACAAAACCTCATTCTTCGGTCGGCTGTGCATCAACTTCTTAATGGGGTCTGTTTCAAGCAGGTTCTGCACACGATGCAGCGCTGAATTTAAATGATGAAGATCAGTGTGGCGTTCAGACACAAAACGCCTGTCGGGGACGGCAGAAGGCCCCGCGTTCAGTGTTTGAACCTTGGTACTCTGCCAAACGTCCTGCATTAGAGGAGGCCAGGTTGAGTGGGCTGAATACAAGGCAGATGTTCCAAATACAAGGCAGCTGTTCCCTAGGGCACAGAGGGATCCTGAGGACCAGTAACTTACTTTGCTTTTAGGGGCCAGGTTGTAGACTAAGAAGGGCTGGAGTTGCAGCATCCTGGGAGAGTTTGTATGATTAGGAGAACTCTGTTTGCTGATTGCCTTGCCTACTCTTGTGGGGGGGGAGGTGGAACACAGTCCTTCAGCCACGGGGATGGTGCTTTGTGTTCAAGAGTGGGGCTCTCTCCTCATTCTCAAGAGATGCTGTTACTGTAAGCAACTCTTTGGACCTTCTCCGTTGCTGAAATTCTGGCTGAAAGTCTGGCTGAACTTGTTAAAGTCTGGCTGAAAGTCTGGCTGAACTTGTTAAAGTCTTTACGGTGTAAATCCTAGGACAGGGGTAGGCAACCTTGGTTCTTTTATGACTCATGGACTTCAACTCCCAGAATTCCTGAACCAGCCATGCTGAGGGGAAAGAGAGAGTTTTCCATGCTGAGCCATGCTGGCTCAGGAATTCTGGGAGTTGAAGTCCACGAGTCATAAAAGAGCCAAGGTTGCCTATCCCTGCCCTAGGATCATAGAGCTGGAAGGGACCTCAGAGGTCATCAAGTCCATTCGCCAGAGACTATCCAGTCTCTGAAAAGCTACAGGGAAGAGGAAGGAACCATATGCCAAACCTAATCTCACAAATTCCTAGTGTCTAATCCGGTGTTTCTCAACCTTGGGCCCTTGAAGATGGGTGGACTTCTTGGCTGATTGGGGAATTCTGGGAGTTGAAGTCCATCCATCTTCAAGGGCCCAAAGTTGAGATACCGCTTTAATCCAATTTACATCCTTGAAGTTTAATCCCGTTCATTCTGCTCTCACCTTTGAAAGCATCCGAGAAGTCCGAACCCTTCAGCCCTTCAGAGTTTTGAGGACCCCCCTCCTGCCCCCCTCAACCTTCTTCTCTTACAAGCTCAACCTCCTCACATCTTTCCCCGATCCTCAAACGACCTGGATTCAAGATAAGTCCTCCCACCCATTTTAGTGGCCGTTCCCTTCCTTTCCAATTTATCAGCCTAAGGAGATTCAGCATCCTCATTGCCGTCCCCCCTCCTACCTCTGTCCCCATCTGCAGACCCCAAACTTCTCTTTGAGGCGGTCACGCTAATATTCCACACCTGGGCACATCGTCAGGAGCGGCCAAAGAAATCGCAGGCGGGACAGACGAGAGGAAAGGAAAGGAATGTAGAGATGTCTTATTTAACCCAATCCTAATCCCCATCCATATTCTCCTCTCCTCGCACGGCAGCCATCTTGACTTTTTTTTTGTGACTGCCCCCTTTCACAATTTAGGATGAATGAAGCCTCTCTCCTGGGGGGGCAAGATGGTGGGGGCACAAAAGAGGGGCAAGGAAGGAAAAGGCCCTGGGGGTCTCCAGCTATGTCCGTGACTTTCCCCCACAGAGGGAGACTCTTTCCTTCTGGACATTTGGAGGAACCCATAAGCCATGTTGCCAAGACCCGCCACCTTCCCCATTCCCGGGGTTCTGATCTTGGGCAATCGGGGATGGCAATGCCAGTCCTCTCCCCGCCTCTTTCCTCTTTCCTGTCCCGTTTGCGAATTGGTTCCACCAGTCTCGGACCTCAGAGCATTTGTGTCCGGACGTCCATGAGGGCTAGCCTCTTGGAATGGAGAGGGACCAATTTGCCCCACTGTCCCCACTGATGTCAGGGTGTTGTGCTCCATCCTTCTGTGGCACACCTTCTTAAGTCAGGGAAGAGTGGGGGGAGGGATGAGGGGGGTCTCTTCAGGAGCCCCCAGACCCATTTCTTTTCTCCGGAGTAACGGGCTGCTTCTTCCCCTGGGACTTTTTGTGCCACCTGGGGGTGCAGAGCAGTGGACAGTCCGCCTTCAGAACAAGGGCACTCCTGATTGTATCCGTGTGTGTGTGTTTGTGTCCCTGTGTGTGTATGTGCACACCAGGCCAGGCTGCGTAGGTGGAGGGGAGACCCGTGGGGCCTTGGAGGCTGCTGCCAATGGCTTTCCTTCCTGTGGGGCAGGATCGTGGCGCTGTCTGCCTGGATCCTCTCGCCTGGATTCCCTGGGGCAGAAGGGGCTCAGTTTCTCTGGTGGGTTCCCGCCTTTGAGACGTTAGACCAGGGGTAGGCCACCTTGGCTCTTTCATGACTCGTGGACTTCAACTCCCAGAATTCCTCAGCCAGCCACGCTGAGGGGAAAGGGAGAGGTTTCCAAGCTGAGCCACGCTGGCTGAGGAATTCTGGGAGTTGAAGTCCACGAGTTATAAAGGGGGGGCATAGTTCCCCCATGCTGGCTCAGGAATTCTGGGAGTTGAAGTCCACCAGTCATAAAGGGGCCAATGTTCCCCATGCTGGCTCAGGAATTCTGGGAGTCGAAGTCCACCAGTCATGAAGCAGCCTAGGCCTAGGCCAGGGGTAGGCCACCTTGGCTCTTTTATGACTTGTGGACTTCAACTCCCAGAATTCCTGAGCCAGCCACGCTGAGGGGAAAGGGAGAGGTTTCCAAGCTGAGCCAGGCTGGCTCAGGAATTCTGGGAGTTGAAGTCCACGAGTCATGAAGGGGTCATGGTTCCCCCATGCTGGCTCAGGAATTCTGGGAGTTGAAGTCCACGAGTCATAAAAGAGCCCAGGTTGCCTACCCCTGCGTTAGACAGTTGAACCCATCCTCCTCAGCCAGGGGATTGGAACTTGCCTGGAACTTGCCAAGCCTGGGCTGACTGACAGCTGCCAGGCACAAAACTGGCATCTCCTTTCAAGCCTTCTGGGAAATCACAGTCCTGGAAGGTTGGCTGCGGTGCCCCACCCTTTCTGCCCCCCTCTGCCCCCCACCGGGGCTTCGGTTCCTCTTGGCTTGGCTTGCTTGCTCTCCCTTCCCCCTTCCTCCCCCCTCTTGGGGTCCCTCCCTTGGGCTCCTCTCTCCGCAGGGCCCCCTTCCCAATGCTCCTCCTTGGAAGACCCCTCCCCAGAGCCCCTCGGCCCCCTCCCCTTCTTTGAAACCCCCCCTCTGGCCCTCTGCCCATCCACCCTGGAGAGAGGAGGGGAGTAAAAGATCCCCAGCCCCAATGCCACCGTGGGGCTGCCCCCCCTCCGCCTCAGGCTAGCTGGCCTTGTTGCCTGCAAAAAGACCCTCTGCCCCAGATTTGGAGGAGTCTTTCCCCCCCCCCCGAGCTGCCTTCCTCTCCCCCTCCCCCGTTCGTAGGTTTTCTAGGGGTGCAAGAAGGGTCCCCGATGATGGTCTTCCACCGTCAGTGGTTTCCTTCCATCCAGCCCTCCCACCACACCCCCTCCGTTGACCCTCTTTCTGGGTTCCCGGGGACCGTGGGGGGGATTGTGGGGCGAAGCAGAGGCAGGAGGTGGGAAGATTTTGTTTGTGTGTGTGTGTGTGTCAGCAACAATCCTTCCCTGTGCTTGCCCCTCTTTACCGCCTGACCCACGGAGCAGCGTCGGCACAGAGCTTGCCAAGAGCCATAGGGGACGGGTCCTCCCTCTCCTATGGGGCATGGTGGTCTGGCTGACCCCCCCAGGAAAAGGAGGGAGGCATCTCGAGCTGTCAGTGGCCAGCTGCTTCCCTTCACCCCGTGGAACAATCTAGGGCAGTGGTTCTCAACCTTTTTAATGCCGCGACCCCAACCGGTCGTAAGTCGAGGACTAAACCGGTCGTAAGTCGAGGACTACCCAACCGGTCGTAAGTTGAGGACTTTCCCTGCCCGGGAGTGCCACGCATGCGTGGTTCCACCCCCTGCGCCGGCCGAGGTGTAGCTGGCAAGCGGCAGAGACGGAGCAGGCCGACCACCAGCTGGCCCAGCCCAAGGGAGGTAAGGCACCCGCCGGAAAAGGGGAAAAAACATGGCGGACAAAAAAAAATGGCAGACAAAAAAAATGGCGGACAGCCTTGCTTGGCGAACCCCATGAAATGGTCAATCGACCCCAAATGGGGTCCCGACCCACAGGTTGAGA